CCCCCGCGGCCCGGCAGGGGGCATGAGCGCGGCCGGGGGCGCGGCGGCGGCGGCGGAACCGTTAACCGACCAGTGGCAGCGCGGGAGGCGCCTGTCAGGTGAGGGGCGGGAAAACACCCCCGCCGCGCCGGGCTGAGGCGCTGCCCGGCCCCGGCCCTGGGAACGGGAGGGTGTCGGTGAAGCGCTGGGAGAACGGCAGTTTCCAGTGATCGCTGAGGCAACGGGGAGCTGCTGCCCTCCCTGGGGCCGCCGGGTCGGGTCGCGGCAGGACCTCGGCCTGGGCCGGTCACACCACAGAAAGTCAACTCCCGCGTCTGCAGGCGGTTTCTGGTGAGCTGCGTTAACGTTTAGGCTGTTGAGAAGGACCTAGTAAGGCGCTAAGCCACAGTTGTAAGTCCTTAATACTTAATTTGCTGGACACCTGGCTTGCCCACACTTCTGGCTCAGTTTCTGAGCTGGCTTGGGTCTGTGCTGCCCCATCCACAATGGTATGATGCCTCTGCACCTGACGGTGTTGGAACTGGAAGGCTGTTTCAAGCTCATAAAAGCTTGTCTGTGCTGTGAAGCTCTGTGTAAGGCAGCAGTTGCTGCAACCAGTGAGTACAGCCTGAGTAAGTAGCCTTTATCTGCTGGTCGTTTGGCAGCTTCCAGTTAGGCCTCCCTGCTGTCCTGTTCCTACCCAAGAAGATCACTGGTGAGGAAGCGTCCCATCATATCTTCCTATACAGTGTGTCTTTGTTCTCTGATGCGAAAGTTAAGTTATGGTATCCCTTCATCATACTCTATGTTATCTTTTTGCTAATGACTAGAGATGTTGAGTGTGTCCAGAGTTCTACAGTCAAATGTATAATACAGTTTACAGCAGCTCAGGGATCCCCGCCCTTTTTCAGGATGTTTCTTTGCTATTCTGATGCAGATTAATTAGAATTAAGTGGATGTCGTGTCTTTTCCCGCTTTGTTCACACAACCATTGATCATACGAGTCTCTTGAAGAATGCTATGGAGAGACTACTAAATCATGTCTCATTCCATGTCCTCACAAGGGACCCAGTGTCTCTGGAAGAAGGGGGAGCCTTCCTAACACTCTGGTTGGTATCTCCCCAAAACAAGCACGTTCCAATGAGTTAGCTTTGACTAACATTTTGTGTAGGCCTCCTATGATGGATTCATACATCAAGTACCTTGATGGAAAAAACTTTGACTGTGTAATCATTATGTTGCTTTTTTTATAGGTATGTAACTTTGCCAACACCAGTGTAACCTCAGAAGGTATTGAAGGGAAAGTTTAAACTGGTACGGAAAAGTTGAGGGAACAGCAGAGCCTCGAAAAGCTTTTTTGAATGTTAACATCAAGTAAAACTTGATGCAGCTCTAGGGTTGCTATCATTCCCTGGGGAATGAAGCAAAACTTGCTGGTCGGGTTCATTTAGTAAGCTTTCTCTGGTGCGTGTACTGAGACACTATTTGAGCTGTCGATAACAAAACTCTGGGAAGTAATATCTGTCATTTAAATGACAGGTAGCTTGTAAATTGCAAGGAGGTATTTCTGGTAGAGTTGGATGGTGTTGACACATAGTTCAGTTAAATATTTGATTTAGTAATAATTTTGTTTATTGATGATGTTTTCTCATTAATTTTCTGTTGATATGGACCTAGACGTATTTGAAAGTGAAATGGATGCATTTACTTAGTTCAATAAACAAAACAAACCCTGCAACTTTAATGAGAGATTTAACAAAGAAATATTTTTGTGCATAGTAAATTATTGTGCATGCTTTAAGTGGCAAGAAGAGGATGTTCAGTTGGATGCATATTCCTCGTGAAATGAAGAGAACTGAAATGCAGAGAACCAGAATGCAGAAGATTGTATGTCAGAAAACTGGCCAGTGATTAGCTTGTTTTTCTTTTACGAAGACTCCCTGTTCCGGTCAGCACACTGCTGTTTCACTACTCCCTGTCTGTGGATGAACAGGAGGTGAAGCAAACCTAGAGAGGAACTTCACTTAACTTTTAATGAATGTCAGAAAACAGGTTAAACTTGTCAGTGATCAATCGCTTAATTTTACTGCCACTAATCTCATTCTTGAAATCCTGGACTAATTATGGGCTGAGATCTCATATGCTAAACCTCACTCTTCAGGAGATTGTTTTGTGTGAATGTTCCAATGGCAAAGAAGGTTATTACTCATGAGCGTAACATAATTAATGTATGCTCTCTCATGTTTTTTTCCTAAACCTTGGAGTCATGTTGAAGAAGGATTATGGAAGAGGAAGAAGAATTCCTTTTTCTCAAAACTCTACTTCTGTTGGGAAAGAGGACCTTTTTGGTACAGTGCCAAATGAATGAACTTACCCAAAACACATTCTGTGGTCCATGATTCCAATATACTTAATGGAGCTGAATTTTGTTTATTCAGAGTACACTCCATTTATGTGAAATCTATGGGACATTCTTGAAAAATGTAGACAGTTAAAGATCACATTTTTGGTCAGTCTTGAGTTCTTTTGAACAGTCTTAAGAGAACTGGAAATACAGCAGTCAAAGCACTGGTGTCAGGTAACAGCATTGTAAATAATACATTCATAGTAAGTACAGGCTCACACTCAATTTTGACTATGCATCTTATAAATTAAGCTTCTGCAAGCTGTTTCTTGATGATAATTTGTTTACCTCCTTAAAGGCGTCGCTACCAAAATAATCTTTCATTCATATTGTGTGTGTTCTTTATCTGTGAGGCATAGTTGACTTGTTTTGATAGTTGATGATATCAAAATAAATGTTGTTTCAGGACAAATATTAAAATTGTTAATAGGGTGTGGACATTGAGAAGTCCTTCCATCCTTATTTATCTGCCTACGCATTGTACTGTGGTGGAAAAATGGTTGTGAAGTGAAAGTCCATCTTTTCAACTGTAGATATCTTGAGCTGAGACAAACCTCTTAAGTTGCAGTTTAAAAAGAAATTTTTGAAACTTCACGGTACCTACTTATCTAGGTTTATTAGGGTGTTAAACAGGTTCTGGAATTCACCTCCAAATTTTGGTGAAAGAAGGCTATGTACACTCCCACAGAATGTGGAGGTTTTGATCTGATTAGCTCTCTAAGGAGTATCTGTTTTGAGCAGGAGCATCCCAGTTCTGTCTGGGTTAACTTTGAACTTGCAGCGTTTCCTTTAAGAGCTAAGATCTACAGACAGCCTGATGATATGCATAATGATTGTATTAGCAGAATTAGTAAGGCAGACTAATTAATCGTGGATATTAAAATTTTATGTCATTTCTGCTTGTTGATTTTGATTGGAAGCAACCTTTATGAAACATTTATTTAGTCAATAAATAAAAATACCAGATGTGTTTGTGCAAATATTCCTTCTCTTTTTATGTTTTACAGTGATT